TGTGTATTTCGCTATGAATCGAGAATTTCTTAATGGAATCGAAAGGGGTTGGGTCAGAATTATAAAATTCGGTTATCCAAAGACAATTATATGCAAAAAATAATGTTTGGCAAATATTTAGTATTTTATTTAATAATAGCTGAAAATGTTTGAATTGTAAGGTATAAAGTTTTTAAACTTATTTAAAAGAATGCAAATTTACACTGTAAATTGCAAAATTTGAACGAAATTGATTAAATAGTACCTGAGAAACTTTTAAAAATATGATTTTTTCTCGAAATTCAGGAACTATTCGATCGATTTGGCTCAAATTTTAAGTCTTACAGTTTAAAATTGCATTCTTTAAATTGGCATAAATTTTTTTTATTTCGTACATTTAGATTTTTTTCCAGACTATTATTAAATAAAATAAAAAGTGATAAATATTTACTAAAAGTTAATTTTTTGCATGCTTTGCTTTTGATAGACAAATTTTATAATAGTGTGCAAACATCAAAATTTTTTTAATTCTCTTAAAAACAATTGAGGCTGCCCCCCTATATTTCAGGGATCTGAAATCCAGATTCAGCGAAAAAAGCTGTATGTTTATTCAAAGAAAGTAAATTTTTGAATCTGATTCCGCAGCTCCACTAATTAATTGCTATATTTGAGTTCACAATCTCGAACGATTCAATTTAAGTCCTAGAATGCGAAGAACTGATCATTAGATCAAAAATTATTCAGGGTGGTCCGTTTTTTATTTTGCGAACTGTACTGAAGAGCTCTAATAACACACTGCAATTTACCAGATTACACTCCATAATCAAGTAACTTTTTCTAGACTTATATGAAATATTAGATTTATATTTAAACAGGTAATATTGTATTGATTATTGAAATTAATTTGTGGAAGATAAAATAAATTTTTTATGCAAGCATTTTTAAGAATGGGACTTTTCCAAAAAATTGATAAAAATAATACGTCGAATATAAATTCATTAGCCAATAGTAATAAAAAAAATATGATATGATTTAAAGTGTATCAGAAATGATAATTAAATGTGAATGCATTTTATTAAGAGGACATCGAAAACTTTTCGTTGTGCATGTAATCCATAAAATTTGGGAAACTCTATGTTTAGGCTAACCCTGTATTTAATACCTTTAGTCACTAATCCCTTTTGGAGGACATGAAAAAATCTTCAAACTATTATTTACGCCAGCGATACCTTATTAATTATGATGATAGAGATTTCGGAATTTTTAATTCTGGAATTGTGATAATCGGTACTGTGATAATAAGTACATAATATTTTAATGTTGGTATTGTGCTAATAATGTTTTTGCACCCCCGGAACCGATAAATAGCTATTTTATATGTACATTATGTAACAGAATTTCAGTATAATCATGCATACTAATTATAATAATAAAGCATGTATAAGAACAGAAATTTTTTTTATTCGAAATAATTAAAAAAAATGTTTGATCAATAATCAATTTTCACTGGGTAGGTTTTTAAGTAACCTCTCTTTTCCCCATAAGTACACTCGTCTTACGAAAAAAAAATGATGACGAATTTTTTCAAATAAAATTTTTGCTTATACATTTTTTTTAAACTTTACATACAACACCAAACAACATTTTTTATGATTGCCTGGAAAAAGTGAAGAGTTTTGAAAAATATTTTAAGCATCATTAAAGTTCGGTATCGCGTACTATTTTACAAGTACTGTAAGTGATAAGTATTAGATCCAAAATTAAAATAAAAACTCTAAAAAATAATAAAGGACCCAGACATTGATAAAAAAACGAAGCAAAAAAATAAAAATTCTGAGAATGTGTGTTGTTCTTCATTATTTTCCCTGCATTAAGTAAAATTTGATTAGCTATAGAGTTTAGTTTTATTTTCTTAGCATTCATAAAAATAAAGTCGCAGAGCTTTTTAATTATAATAATAAAAAAACAAAAAGTTTCGTCCTAATAATTGCCGTGGTGAATATTCTTTGGTAAATCCCTAAACAATATCCCCGTGGTAATTTTCTCTTATCTTGCAAGACATTTTTAAGTACATTGCTGATTTTTTTTCTCCAATTATAAGCAAAATTGAAACACTTGCTTAGCAAAGTAGTTAATAGTGTTTATTTTTCGTGTCCTTTTAATCAATTAAGGTAGAAAAATAATGTATGCATGATGTTTATTTGTTTTTCATCGACCCTTTTTTTTTCCAAAAAAATATTTACCTGCATCAAAGATTATTAAAGCATGTGTTTTTTTAAAAATTTATCTTGAAGCCTTAAGGTTATTTACTTTTAGGAAGCTGCTGATGTTGTTAGTTAAGTTGAATTTTCCTGCTAAAAATAAATTTAGATTCTTGACTTGTACTCTTAATGTTTCCTATAGTTTCATAAATATATATAAAATCTATCTTTTCAGATATTTGTTAGAGTATTTAAGGGATAATAAATGTTTTAGAAATTATAATACTTTCATCTAAACAAACATTTTAGTCCAAATGATAATAAATAAGAAAATTTTTCATAATTTTTTTTGCGTGTGTTAAAATATAATCTATCAGTATTACATTAAAATCTATATATGTTTTAAATATTCAGCGCTACAAACATCGTATTAGATATTCAACATTAGGTTGCATTCTTTCTCAAAAAAAAAAACAAAAAAAACTATAATGCGTTTAAAAATTTCACATTTTTAAAATTTGAAGGAGTCGCTAAATTAATTGCCATATTATATAAATAGCAGAAATCACCTAAATTTGGAGATATCAAATCGCGAAAAAAGTTAATATTAAACAAATACCAGCTATCGACTATTAGGTCATTAGGCTTCTAGCTCTCCAGTACTTTATCAAAGTCTTTTAGCGCTGAGCACGTGTCCAAATGCGCAGTAGTCATGGCTTGTCCGGNTTTAATTTATTGTATGTAAAACATCCTTATTTTGTTCTAAAATGTTATGTACTTTATCACAAATGTTAATTAATATAGAAATTGATTTCAATAATGCTGATCACCAAAAAATATTTCATTTGGTGATAAAACAAATGAAAAACTTTTTGAGGGTTATTATCTCACCAGGAAAAGTCAGGGTTTAAAGTTTATATTTTTAAATAATAAAATTTTTTTCTAAGACTTTCAGAATTTCTAGCATTAACTAATTTATTATACACATTTAGTTGAATTTAGGTGAGTAACTGCAATATTTGATCATTTATTTCGCAAATATGTATCTCATTTAACTAATGTTTTGATTTTTTCACCATGTACAATCTAAATAGCTAATATACTTTTTTAAAAGCCAATAAGAACATTGGTAGAATTCTTCTACATAAGTACAATACTATGTCTTTGATGATAAAATACTATGTCTTTGATGATAATATATTATGTCTTTGTGCTAGAACATTGTGTTCATTGGCGAGCGAGCGCAGCGAGCCATGGTTCACGGCGTGAACCACATAGGATTGCGTAGCAATTCTCGGGGGTTGGCGAGCGTCAGCGAGCAGGGGTCAGAGCCTCCTAGTATCCATATATCAATGTTTAAGTCTCTGCACTGAGTATCGAAGACTTCTGATGCTTTTTCCTTTTTATTTGTGTTATAGTATCAATCTGTATCAATATTTGTTTTCGATATTGTCTGATAATAATTATACTTTCATTTATTAGCATCAATTCAATAATTAATATATTTTAAAACAATTCTTCTAGCATACCTACGGTATGCTGATTTTGCGTAAAAGTTAATTCCCATAAGTAAATTATTTATGGCTGAAATTATGCTATTTATTACCTTTAGATAAAGTCTAGTATTATTTCTAATTATTAACTCTAAAATAAACTAGTATTGTTTCCTATTAAATTACTGTCGAAATATTTTTTAAATTATTTCCGTGAGACAACTTTACGTTTCATCAACGGTTTCAGAACGATGCTGCGTGGATATTGTTTTACTCCCTCAGTGCTTTTCAGAAGATTTTCAGCAATTTCTTAAAAATAAAAGAATTTTATCTATGCGCATGCTTAATAATATTTTTATAACTTAATGGACATATATTTAGGTTGCGTATAACCCTTTTTCATAATAATTATATCACCACACATAGTGAGATTAATGAAATACTAATTAATGAAAACAAGCGAAGAGATGAAAAATAGTAAACGTTTTTGAATGCTATATTTTATTAGAAGAAAATTTTAATTACTTTGATATTTTGGGACTTCTAAGCAGGTAACTATATTACATTGATGTTATGTATTTTTATTACACTGATGAGCCAAAACATTATGACCCTCCCCACATTTTTCAATGAACTCGTCTTGATGACGTGGAGGGCAAGTTGGAAATGCATTATTTAACTGCTGCAGAAGACGATAAGGAATCATTCACTTTTGCAAGTGATGGGAAAGGTTACTGATTTAAGTGAATCTGATGGAGGGTAAATCGTAATGGCCTGAAGACTTGGAACTAGTGCATCCAAAATTGCACTATTCGTTAGTTGTACGCAATCAAGTTGATAAATGACTGTGAACGATATCCATGGGTCATCATAGAAAAGGGACGTAAACATTTGGTCCAACCTGTCTCCAGTTATCTACCAAAAAACTTGTATACTGCGGCCTTGAGGAGAACTCCTCCAGACTAAATGTCTGGGGCTGTCTGCTGCTATGGTTACAAGCTAAAGCACATTTCTAATGGGGGTGCAATGGAGGAATGAAGTTGTTGATTGGTTTACTCATGATCAAGACAGAACTATTCACCCATACCCCTATTCGAAGTGACTTTTCCTCGTTACCATGGTACACGCCACAACGTGAGACAGATGTCTGAAGGAGTTCTCCTGAAAGCCGCACTATAGCATCTATACCGAGGTTAGTTGTGACTGTTTTGAAGACCAAAGGGAACGCGATGCGTTATTGAGTAGATAGTCATAATGTTATGGCTCTTCGATATTTGAGTGAAGTATGAAGTCAGCGCATTGATATATCTTTTTTTTTTCTTTTCAGGAGCCTTTTTAGTTCCTTATGTAATTATGCTTATATTCGGAGGTTTGCCTTTGTTTTATTTGGAATTAGCTCTAGGACAGTACTATAAAAGTGGTTGCATCACAATTTGGGATAAATTGTGCCCAATGATGAAAGGTAAGGGAAAACTTAAATAATGAAAATCAACTTGTACATTTTTAGAAAAAGTTTAAATACAGTATTGTGTTAATATGATTTTCCATCCATTGCAGCTTTCCTTATGGGGGAACAACAGCAGAAGCCTGTAAAAAAGAGGGATTTTTTTAAGGAATTTTACAACGATTCGGATTAACTTAACATAATACATATTTTTTCTTATTGTACATATTTTAATCTTCCTTTTATCATGTTACAAATGAAAAATTTTAAAAATTAGAACTTATATAATGCAATGTTCGTAACTTATTTTTTAAATTATGCATGAATTGTTCTAGTCATAAGCTGAAAAAAAGCATCCAAATTTGATTTCGTTTCTATCTTTTTAAAACCACATGATTTGAATTTTTTTTGTATGAAGGATTTTTATGAAAACAGTTTTTTTTTACAAAATGGTGGAGTTTTGAAAAAAAAAACTCTCAAAAATGGAATAAAATAAGTTGCATTTTTGTAGATTACTCAAAACCAGTCAATCATATTAAAAAAAAACCTTCTCTCTACGAAAACTATATTTTTAATGAACATTGTGTCAAAATTTAAATAAAATCGGTTGAAAATATTGTGATTTAAAACTCCAGCAAGCATGCAGATAAATACCAAAATTTTTCTTTTACAAAATACATAAATTTTTTTACATGTACTTATTCATTTTACATGATTTTAAGCTTATGATATTCTTAAAACTACTTTAGTAATGAAATCAAGTGTGATAAAGATGGTTCTGATATTAGTTATCAATTTAAAAACATTTCTGTTGCACTCATAAATTAATAGTTTCCATAAATATATGGGTGTCCTCAAATTGCAAAATTTTTCGGGGACCCTCTATTGATTTTTTCTCAAATCATGGTTTATAAATCTGGTCACCTCACGTGACGTCTCGTATGTGTTTACGGTAGCAACCGAAATTCTACGGGTATCTTTGAGCATATTCTTTGACTGCTAGGCCTATATTTACTTCTAATTGTTCCATAACTGACAATAACTCTTTGCATCCTTCATTAAAAGTTATTACAGCTAAATAATTTCAATTATTTATATTGAAAGTACCATTAATTATTTTTCTCACATAATTTAAATAAATTATTTCATTATAATAAGTAAAATAATAGTACTTTACTAAAATGTTCTGAAAGGAGTGATCCATCACTTCCACTCTCTGATTTTTCTTAAAGTTTAAACTTTATTAACTAAGATGTTCATTAAATAGTTCAAAATACTCATCCTAAAAATTTTACATTATTAGAAATTATGGAGCACATTGATAAAGTCGTCTAAAATTGTTGAAACAGTGCCAAATCGTGATTCTTAAACGTGATTATCCGATACTAGAGTAAAATCTGAACCAAAGTGTGGTTAAATTTAATACCTTATTAAAATTACAGCATCTTTGCATGGTATTACAGTACAACACTGAAACAATTTTTCTAAGAATGTAGTTATTGCAAATAATAGTTTTGTTACAAAATGCGATACAGAAACTTGTTTTCTCCGAACTAGTGAACATGCTTTTGTTTCGATTGATTTATATTAAAATGAGGAGTAATCGCAATCAGGAAAATATGGTTCTAATGGTTTAATTGGAAGAACGGTTGCGAGTTCATACCGTTAACGTTACCTTTTCATTTTTACTTAATTTATGAACTAATTTTGCGAATTGAACAATTTTAGTACACACTACTTTGTCAAGAGCAAATTTCCTGCAAAAAAAAATATTTTACCGATTCATTCTTAAGATACGGAGTCTTCACTGTGGAAAATTCCGGATCAAATTAAGGTAAAAAGTGCCGGCACTCAGGGTGTTGGTACTTTTTCGATCTATTTTCAGTGGAACATGTTACGGAACAAAAAATCTCTAATTTTTACAGCAATAATTACCTTAAAATCACTCATTCTAATTAAATAAATATTACTGTCAAAATTACGGTATAAGATTTTACGGTAAAAATGTGGATGGATGGATGCATGTATGGATGTTGCATGTAACCAAAGTGCTGACATTTTATACTGTAATTTGATCTGGAATTTCTTACGGCGTCCCAAATTTGATGTTGTTGTTGCGTATGCCTGTTTTAGGCAGAGGGGTGCGATTGTTCTTGTTTTCCGGTGTCGCCATCTATGGCCAAGAATTCGATTTCCGCCACACCCATTCGTACCAAACCACCCGTTCGTTCCATCACCAAACCACCCGTTTATAGAGCGGACCCATTCATTCATCCGCAGATCGTAATTTTGACCTGAATCAGAGAACGATCGATCTCCAATCCAGTACCCCCAGAGGTTTTGATTTGTTATGGGAACATGGAGGACTTTGCGACTCGACATGTTTAACGTGCATCAGTCACCATTTACTTCGGCCGGCGAGATTCGAACCCACGAACTTTCGGACATGGGCCCAGCGCCCTACTGGCCAGGCTATACCGGCCCCAAATTTGATAGATAACATATTTATGTAATTAAAAAAAAATTTAATTCAAGATGTATCATACTCAAACATCTGTTTTCTCGTATTTTAGATAGTTGAATTATATGCATAGTATGTTTTAACACATTAATAAATACCATATTCTTCGACACCACGATAAATAAAATACCATACGTTACCATAATAAATACCAGTTTAAAATTACCCTTTTTTTAAAATTAGATTTTACAAATAGTATAAAATATTATTAATTTCTTCACTCAAATGGGCCTTTCACAAATATTTCATAATTCCAGGTATCGGTTGTGCCATCTGCTTCATTGATTTATATATGGGTATGTACTACAACACCATCATAGCATGGGCGTTTTATTATCTATTTGCATCATTTACATCAGAACTTCCATGGACAAAATGCGACAACGCCTGGAACACTCCTCACTGCCTGACTCTTGCTGAAAGAAGTCTCAACGCATCAAATGAATCAGTCAGCCCAGCACAAGAATATTTTGAGTAAGTATTACACTGTTAGAATTTTCATTCTATAATTATGGTAAAATAACCAGCAGCAGTCTACCCATTCAATTAACCTTAAAGTTTATGGTAAAGAACATTTTTTACCATTAGGGTTTTGAAACCGTTTTCAACTAGTATGGCTAAGAAACCATGAATACAAAACTACACGGTTTTTTAAGGCATTTACAACTAGCATACTTTCAAAACTATGAAATAGAAATTTAACTGGACATCAAAGCTAGGCTTTTTGTGAGGTAATTGGCATTGGACAGTGCAGAACACAAATTAGGTAGTAGAAGACACTAGAAACTCTTCATGTGTTGATGGGAATGGAGAAAATATTGTAGGATCAACGCTGGAATTCGAACTCTTATTCTGTCGGTCATGAGACTCACAAATTAGTTCTCTTGGTTATAATATGTACCCATCTATAAGAAATTAAGTTGTTTTAGCAGGTGGGATAAATTGGTGAGGTAAAATTATGGTTGCTTAACCGTGCTAGGAGAGAAACAGTTAATGAGCGGTATTCTCACAGTTAAAAGTTTTAATACCATCTTATTTATGCTTATTTGACTATTTTGTTAGAATAAGGTAAAATAACAAGTAAATATATTTTCATTTAATAATTTTTTTAAGAGAAATTTGTAACAGTGTATAAATTAGTTTGTACTTTTTTAGAAGTCGCAAGCAGTGTACAACTTGTCAAATAAACAGAATTTTATTTATTAAACCACATTCCTATAAGCTCAAAAGGCGAACATTAAATATAACAGTAAGATATTGAAAATAGTAGTTACAAACAGTAGTTAATAGTACAAAATCGGAGGAACAAAATCAAGTTTATTAAAATTGTTGGGGAAATTTTGTTTCAATATATTGACATTCGTCATTCAGGAATCAGGTGGGCAGATGTGTTGACCACTCCTTCTGGGTTCACCATAGCTGGTGTGCCAACGCTATCCCCACAGTGAGATTGACCGATAGTATAAAGAAGAAGACAAAAACATCCATTCAACATTCGAATCCAGGACTGTTCCGATATGAGCATATTTGTAAGAATAACAAGAGTAAGGTCGCCGAAATGTAGACAAAGAAGTTTTTTACAGGGGAATTTGCCCCTACGCTTAGCGTAATGAAAAATATGTTAAAAAATTTCGCTGAATTAAGGTCTTTCCATAAGAATTGTGTTGATTGTTTATTGACATTAGTGAGGCGAAAAGTTATAAAATGTATTTCTCATCTGTTCCAAATTTTAATACCGTGAAATAAAATGGCAAGTAAAAGTATAGCGTTTCTGAATTCGCTTAAATGCTAATTAAATCCGTTAAATATTGCAGAAGCCATGTGGTAAATGTTTGCTTCTAATTGAGAAAAATTCTCCCTTTTATGTCTATGAATGTTGCAATTTTTTCATTTTTATCTCCAGACAGCTGATAAATTTTCGTTATAGTTGAGGGTAGGAATTTAATTAGTAAATAGTTTTATTTTTAAAATTGTAATTTCATTCAGTTTTAAACAAATATCGAAACGTGAGAATTTCTTTAAGTGATTTTCGATAGTAGCTATAAAAATATCATCAAAGTCACATTAAATTTTTTTGAAAAAGTATGAAATTCATTAAACTATTGATCTTTAAACGAATTTTGTCAAAAAAAATTGTGGCTATCTTGGATTAATCTTAATTTGTGTTTTAGATATAATAAATGGTAGCATAAAATAAAGTTAATATAAAAGTTTATGAAAAAGAGTTATTGAAATTGATTTAATCTCGGTTAAAAAAATATTGCATATTAGATAAAAAACAGAATTCTTTAAAAAGAACGATTTAATAACTCAGCAATATACAGTAAGTTTAAAGGCTTCTGTGTTCATATTGTAGATTGCAATGCAATAAACCTTTTTGCTTTAAACATAAAATAAATTCCATCTTTTGAAATAATAACGGAGCACATGTTTGTAAATGTCAACTTTTTTGCGGTTTTCTTAAAAATTTAAAGACAAATTAATCCCTTGATACATATTTTGATAATGTATATTTTAAATGTAAAACGATTCAAATTTATATTTTGAAAAAACTCTTTATCTTTGATTATATTTTGAACTTAAGTTGTGCAAATATAATTTTTTTAAAAGCGTTAATTCATAATAAAAAATAACTAAAAATTACGAATGCATAGTTGTATTTCTCAAAAATTAAGAAAATTCATTAAAACTATTCATTAAAACTATTCGCACCGGACAGGGCCAGATGGAGGAAAATCTGCTTGTCAGCCTTGGCCTGTGAAAGGCTGTTGCGCTTATGAAGAAGAAGAAGACTAGCTGGAATGCGTTTGACCCTGGGCAATTGGGACGAATAAAAAAGACGTACTCGGTGAGGGAATGGCTTCACAAGCAAGACATTATACCAACTTCTCTTATTCTTATCTCCTTGGTTCTTAAGCTTTTTTTTTAACAATGAAAATTCTTCCAGACATGACAGATTTAACGTGCCACCCACCTTGAGGATGCTATAACGCGGAAGAAACTTTTCATTGCAAATTCTGTTTCCCCTCTATAACTAATTTGAAATTTATTGTATAGAAAGAGTGAATTCAGGCAAACTTTCAATTGCTGAAAAAGAATTCAAACTATCAAAATGCAAACAAATTGTTGGAAGAGAACTTTCAGATTGCGTAATCCTTAGTTATCCTCTCATAACTTGTTTTCATTTTGATATTCTGAAAGTTTCTTTTTAGTATTTGAAACCTTTTTGGCCTACTCCATGTTTGTCTGAAGTCACTTTTTCTATACAATAAATTAGTTATGGAAGTAAAACAGATTTTGCGATCAAAAATTTCTCCTTTGGTATAGCATTCTCTTGAACCACCAGCGATTCAGCAAATACACTATTTAAATATCTAATAACAAGGAAAAACCGGTTATGCTATGTGAAGAAGAGTTCCGGTTAAAATACGATTTTTTACGTACAGAACCGTCAGTAGGTTAAATAAGAGATGTATTCCTTGTGAGTTAGGATTAGGTAAGGTTTGTTCATTGACTAATGCATAAATAAATCTTGCAATTTAAAACAGTCAAATTCTCGAAATTTGAATCTTTCTTTTAGTACTGCATTTCATTTCAACTTAGCATAAAAAATTATATACATAAAAAAAAACTTTAGGGTTAGTTTTTTTACCACTACTTTGATAGAAATTTTGAAATGTGTTACAGCGTGACAACGTAAGGGTCTTCTGACAACTATCGACAGTATTCTTATTTATAAAGTTTGACCATATTATCGTACGAATTAAACCTTTTTCAAATCTATTATACGATACTATGATTCAACTTTGACGGATTTTTTTTAACTTTAAACCGAATTTCTAAAAGTGTACAGTTTAAATCATTCTACTAATACAAAATTATTCTATTCCAAAAGAATCTTTTTTTCTGTAATAAAAATAATAAAAAACAAAACAAGTTTTGGTGATAAAAATATTATATTTAGGAAAATATTTGCATTTCATTTAAGAATTTCTTCTATTGATTAAAACTCTGCAACGCAATATCTACAAACTGAGTCCTATTATAAGTATTTCACTTTCAAATAACACCTTATTCACAAACATTCTCTTCAGATATCATTATCCAATTAAATACACGAAGACTCAAAATTTAGATGCAAAAGACCTCAACACTAAAATCCAATTATCACCCTCCAAACTTCCTTGAAAACTGATTCAAGAAGAGGAAGGAGCTTCGAGAAAAATCGACCAACCATAAAATGATCCATCGCTGGCATTCTCTTTAAAAACTTTTTCCACTTGAGCCATATCAGAGAAGCCATAATTCTTTGGTGGCCAGGTTTTCTTCAGCATATACTTATACCAAAAGGGCTTTTGCAGTAGATGAAAGCTGGAAGTACATTTTCCAAAGGGCGGGAAAAGAAAACTTCGACTCGTTATCAGGCAGCGATAGTGAAGCTATTTAGTGCGTTGTCGGAGATTTAATGAGACAATCGATTATTTCTGTATCGATGATCCACCCTGCCATTTAGGGGGTGGGAGGAAAGGACTGGCGATAAGGGTCATCAGTCAACTGAGTGTTGCAGCGACCTTTTCTTATTTATGCTAAAGAATAAGGTTTTGGTTAGGAGTCTCCGCTCTTAGATCTCTCAAGACAGAAATCTAATATTATTTTTTTAAGTATGGTTCTTGAGATTTATTTTATAGGCGTTTGGGAGAAGGTGCATGAGTGTGAGATCATTTTTCAAAATTTTTTTAGAGGTTGAGTGTTGTGCTGAGTGCACTTGAGATTCTTGTAAAGTTGCGAAAATAGTTTTATATTTACACTGAGTTAATTAAATATCCATTTACAATGAAGAGAAATCACAGTAATAGTGATTTCGGAAATCTACATTAAATTACAATTTACTTTAGTTTGAAATGTATAAGGCCTTTCGTATTCATTGATTTTTTATGTTTAAAAATAATAAATATTCTCCATTTATTTAATTACTAGCTGAATACTTGTTCTTTGTTGTAAATGAATCAAAAATCGGTTAATTCTTCGGATGAATAAAGAAAATAAAATAATATCAGTGCTGAATAACGGTTCGAAATCATGTGTAAAACTGAAAAGAATTTACCGACACAATTGAAGAACTTAGTGATGGAACTAGGTGACATTTTTAGGGGTATTTACGAATTAGTGAAAATATGGGTAGGTTTAATGTAGCATAATTGTTGATCAAATAGAACTATAAGATAGCAAATATTACTGATGTTGCCTTTAAAATATTTAAAAATTGAATCGTGTATAGTTACATTTTTTTTTAAAAAATGACTAACGCTCAAGCAATCAAAAAATTCCATTTTACTCTTTGCTCATCGTAGAATGTTCTAATGTTGACAGTGACCTTTCTTTTGCTTCGATCGATTCCTTTTGCTTCCTCTTGCTTGTCTTTATGCCAAATTTCATCGCTTTCAGTCTGATGGTTTAGGTGTCTATAAAGGACACATAAGTAAT